ATCGGAAGAAATCTGTAACTGTCGAGCGGAATGCGTGTTCGATCGGAACGATCGGAAGGCCTGGATCGAAAATGAAGTTTGTTTCTGCGATTTATCTGTGAGAAGATTGTCGGGTTCCGTCACTTGCTTGTCGATTTCGGGAAGAAATCTGTAACTGTCGAGCGGAATGCGTATCCGTGCCGTTCGATCGGAAGGCCTGGATCGAAAATGAAGTTTGTTTCTGCGATTTATCTGTGAGAAGATTGTCGGGTTCCGTCACTTGCTGCAGATGCTTGTCGATTTCAGACTCCACAATCGGATACAGTTTCTGGGAAGGCGATGGTATTCCGGAGTTCGAGAGATCAAATGAGACGTCATTCTTCCTGGCAGACTTTTCAGAAAGATTGCTCTCTTCGGCAACGTACTCGGTGTATTCCGTGAACGGGTTTCCCTCGTAGTTGAGCTGGCCACTCACCAGATTAATCGCAAGGATGATAATCGCAAATCTGATCATGATTCTGAACAAGAAAAATAATTTTAAAGTGGTAAAAATATATATACATAAAATAATAAATTCGTATAAAACAATAAATCTTTGTTTACTACGGAAACAAGAATTATCTCTAATTGTGTTCTATCTCAACGAGTTTTCGTTCTGTGATGGATGTAATTTCTCGTAGCGAATTTTAATGACTACAGTCTCGGTAAGAGTCCATAGTCGGACTCCCGCTATTCCAGCGGAACGAATGCGTGGGATTTTTAGCGTATTGTAACGGAGAGAAGAGAAGAAAGATGTTCACAAGATGCAGGCTCCGCGCACGTAATCGCGATTGTCTAGATGTTCGTGCTCTCTTACGTGAACTCCTCTTTGCTCTTATTTATTACAATAGAACAAATGTAAGCGGAACGATGAGAAAATGCCTTTGGCTATTTCGTCAAAATTCTTTGCTATTTTTTGCAGTATCTTATTCAGTGATTGGATTCGATAGCTGCGACCTCATAATTGAAGAAATAGGAGCGAAATATAAACGTAGCGGCAATGCTTATTAAAATTTATTACACGTTCGCAATCGCGGTGACAGTGTAATACTTTTGTCGATCAAGGTAAGATTAATATATACAATTATAAGGGGAGAAAAGATTTTTATAATTTGCAAATATTTAATTGGCCTGATTTATACATTATCATATTTCCAGCTGAAAATTTTGCAAGATTTTTCTATGAGACTTCTATCAGCATAATTTTAAAGATCTGCTCAGATATTAATAAGAAAATTAAAATATTGACAGATATATATTTAACAGAGAATTTATAAAGAGGCATTGTTATCAAAAGTGGTTTTGTACTTATTGGGCTATATTTCTTAGAATGATCGAATTATTGGGTCAGGAAGACAAGAAGGTTTATCGCATTGAAAGTACTTGTATGTTAAAGCGTGACCCCGAAATGGAAGGGAAAAGCCTCATTCCGGGAGAGAGTGATGAGAGTGTGCTAACCACGTGCGTGCTGGCCAACACCTCAAGAAAAAAGAGAGAAAGAGAGAGAGAAAGAGAGAAAGAGAGAGAATATTTAGATTCAAAGTTACTAGACAATTTGCTGGAAAGTGCGTGTGGTAGTCGCGTCATGCTGAAGAGCGTGATGCTGCACTTCACGCGATAAATGTTTTTTGTATTTAATAAAGTAAGCTAAAGATTTCTTTTCTAATTCGACAATTTTCTCTTCATTCGATTTCTCTAAATCTCACGAACAATTAACCCGCGCGTAGCCAAGTTACTTTTCTACAATTACTAATTTTTCTTTTATCTCTCTATTATTTATTCTATGACGATTTAATGATGATATAATTCTTATATTAAGAATTAATTGCAAATTCGTATACCGGCTGTAATAGAGTTTAATAACGACAAGATAGTCAAATTTAAGCAATAAAAATTCCAATTATTTATATCCAGTGTTTTGAATTACGTATGTAGGTGAAGCGTGACAATTAAAAGTTGGCTCACACGACATGTCCACAGTTATTCATTAAATGAGTCAAGTCATTATACGTGTGAAATTTTCTGTCAACTCGTTCAGTTCTAGTTATTATTTCTAGACTCGTTTGATAATTACTTCAATAACGGAAATATAAAAAACAGATCGTGAAAATCGTAATTTAAAAAAAAAAACTGATTTTTCACATGTCAAATGCATTAGGCTTTCTTTGATCGTATTGCAATAATTTAAGATTATATCTACTTTATACGTATTTATTGATATTGCCACGCGTTGATATCTCAATTTTACATTTGATATACAAATAATGTTAAAGAAAAATAATTTTTTATGCGCGCAAGTATTCATTCGGAAATGAATTTCTGATGTAAATTGTTTTTCAACTTTATGCACGATTCCTGTTCTATGGGCTGTTTCACGGCTTTCTAAAACCGTTAATTCCATTGAGAATTCAGTATTCGACCAATATTCAATAGTGCACTCAGCCACTTAAATTATTACGACTGACCTCAAATTCGGTCGCATCTGTAAATCACGATTGCATGTTTATTATTCATCCTACTTTTAAATCTATTTTTTGATATTATGAGAACTAACAATTTTGCTTAATAATAAGTCACAGTAATAGTCACAGGAAAATTTTTAATATTTCGTTCACGTTTATATATATATTTATTTATTTTATATATATTTATTTATATATATTTATATTGTGTATATTTTTCATTAAGCCAATTTTTTCTTTATTTATAGCATAATCAACAACCTTTATCTTTGGCAAAAG